TAGAGGAGATGAGCACACTGCAATTCGTTCTCCTCTTGGGATTTTGAACGTGCACGTACAGGCGCCCGGTGTGAGTTTTAAGCTGCCAGGTCAAGGATTCAAAGCACATCAACTCCGTGGGAGTCCAACAATGTAACCATTATGCCATCTGCTGATCCTTAAAATAAATTTTTTTTAAGAGAGATTTTTGCTATCAGGCACATGTGCTCACCAGAGAGACAGAAAGTAAGAAATCACAGGAGGGATGGCCATGCCACAATCCCTTCTCCATATCCTCATCATGAGATTTTGGGTACACACACACACACACACACTCCTGGCATGAGTTTTAAGCCCCTGGATCCAGGACTCAAACCACAGTTGACTACATGGGAGTCCAGTGACATAACCATTACACCATCTGCTGGTTCTCCCAAATAAAAATTCTTAAAAAAAAAAGGCACACCAGGTACATGCGCACATGCCCAGAATCTCAACGGAGTAGAGAAGTGGAGGAGAAGGGACTGTGGCCCGACCACACTCCGCTGGGGAAGGCTCCAGCCCTCTCCCGTTCTGTATCTGTCTGGAGAGCACACACGTCCACTGGCAATAAGGAAAAGAAAGAAAAGAAAAAAATACATACTTATTGAACTTACTTAAATCCTGGGCTTAAAAAAAGCTAACAAAATAAAAAGAAAAAGGAAGGAAATTAGACAAGAGAAAGAAGTATGTAAGTATCAAATTTAGCTCTGAACTTCCTTGGCAGCCAGAGCAAAAAAAAGGGACATTTTGTAAATTATCTCACCTCTCTTTATCAGCTGGAAAGTGCATCCAGTTCCTCTTGAGACACAAAGTTCGTACATTACACCCAGATTCTTGAAAAAATTACTCACGTGGAACCTTCTCCAGAGCACATGTTCTCCTCCGTGGCATTAAGCAAGACTGAGTTTAGAGAAATGTCTTACTCCTTCTCTACTGTTTATACACCTCTCCTCTGTTTACCTCTGCCACCTCATGTCGTGTCACCCAACCACACAGGCCACCTTCCTGTGGCCCCTGGAAGCAGCTCGGCCTGCTCCCATTCTAGGAAGGAACAGTGGGTACTGTGGTGTGTGCCCCTCAGGACCGAGACATCACACCCCGCTGAGGTTGATGCTGAGGCTGGGTCCTTTCTGGAGCGTTGTCCTCAGCAGAACATGAAGAGGACCGTGTCTTCCAAAATTACACCCCTTATGTCCCCTGCCTGGAGCCTCCATCCAATGATGGGCAGGGGTTGGGGGTTAAGGCCTACATCATCGCCTAGATCTGGGCCATCTCGGAAGGGCCATCCTGGGCCTGGACGTCTCCGCTGGATTGGCCAAAGCCTGTCACGACTTCCTCACAGCCCGACACCCGCTCTGCCTATCCCATAGTTCCTCACACCCCATGGGTGTGGATACTGGATGCATGCCTGAACAAACCCTCTGTGTGTACATTTCTGCTCAATTAGGAGGGCCCACCCTAGAGCAGCAGGGCCTTTGTAGAGGTTGTTCTCTGCTTGGAATGTTCCCTGCCCGATTTTCACACTGTCATGGCATTAGTGAGGAATTCTTGTCATATATAATATATATATATGTGTATATATATATATACACACACACACACACACACACACACACATATATATATATTTAAGAATTATTTTAGTTAACTTTATTTATTTTAATTTGATCAGAGAGGGACATACTGAAAAAGAGAGAAAGAGGGAAAGTGAGACAGCAAGCTGCCAGGTCCAGGAATCAAACCATGGTTGGCCATGTGGGATTCCAGCGCCCCTTAACTACCATTCCACCTGAAAGCCCCTCTTGTCATGGATTTATTCACTGAAATGTCACTCCTCAGAGAAGCTTTCCCTTACGGCCTGATCTAAAATAGTCTTGGAGACACTACCCTCTAAGCCAGTTTTAATTCTCTGCATAGCATTTTTCACTGTCTAATCTTGTTTGTCATTGTTTTAAATTACTCTTTTCCCTCTATTTTTGGTATGTGAGCCCCTATTCTTGACCTTATTTATTTATTTATTTACTTTACTCATGATAGACAGTACATGCACATGAGAGAGAGAGGAAGAGAGGGAGAAGGCACCCGGGCAGGGTCTCATCATGCCACAATCCTTTCTCACCAGCCTTCCGGCTCATGGGACTTTGGACATGCTTGCATGCATACAGCATATTTTTAGGCCCACCCAGAGATCTGAAGCCACAAATAGCCATGTGGCTTCCAGCACTGCAGTTCCATGTGCTGCTGAGTGTTCCACCAGCTGGCCTCCATGGTCTGCCTTATTCACTATGGCACTCCCAGAGCCTAGGACAGGGCCTAGTAAGTAGCAGGTGCTCAGTAAAATTAGTTAATACTGAAATTCTATCTTTTTTTTTTTGTACAAAGAATTATTTTCTTTAACTTCATTTATTTATTTATTTTTATTTTGACCAGAGAGGAATAGGGAGAGAGCGAGAGAGAGAGAGAGAGAAAAAGCGAGAAAGCAAGCCACCAGGTCCAGATTCAAACCATGGTCAGTCATGTGGGAGTCCAACACCCTTCACCACACCACCTACCAGCTCCTGAAATTCTGTCTTAAAATTCCGTCTTAACATAGGGATCAGCAGGTGGCATGGCGGTTAAGGCGCTGGACACTCTCGCAAGTCTGACCATGGTTTGAGTCCCGGACCTGGTGGCTTGTTTTCTCACTTTCTCTCTCTCTCCCTTTCTCTGTATCTCTCTCTGGTCAAATTAAAAAATAAGTGAATGGATAAGTAAAATTAAATAAATAATTTAAAAAGCATATAACATAAAGTGAATTTGAGGCTAATTTGGTATTCTTTTAACAACTTTGTGTCTTTTGATACTAGTAACACTAAAATGTACAAATTTTCAACTCTAATTTGACTGTAAAAGCAGTTGTATTTTTTTAATGGAAAAAAAAAATCCACAGCCTGATCTTGTGAATTGGAAAATGGAATTTCTTTTGGAATGCTCTTTGTGACCTAGATTTGCAAGCATAGATATTTTGTATAGAATAAGCTCAGTAGCAGGAGAAATGGCCATGCCCACGAGGAAGCAGAGGAGCTCTGCCCCAAGGCGTCCTGGTGGATTCAGCTGAAAGGGGTGTGCTGAGGGACTGACTGAGCACCCGCTCCACGCCAGGTACGGCTCAAGCCCTTTATACGTGGAGATTCGACTCACCTTCACGCTTACCCTACGGGTTAGATACTATCGCTATCCCCGCTTTGGAGGTGTGCAAATTGAAGTTCAGAGGAGCTAAGGAGCTTTCACAAGGTCTCACAACCTGTAAGTGGCAGAGCTGGGAGTTCAGTGTGGCATTCTGACTTCAGAGATGGCACCACGTACAGCCTTGCTGTTGCCAAGCAAATGTCAAAGAATCAAGAGAAAAATAGACATGAACAAGGTACTTTTTGTATAGTCCCTTTCACGTTTTTTAATCTGAAACATACACGTTCAGGTTATTAATGTGAGAAAGCCTGCAAGTACCTTGCATTCTAGAAACTTCCATTATGCAGATGTCTCTTTCGGTGTCCTGGCATTTCAGGAAATTATGTGGCCATCATATTTGGGGGATTGTGCAGGGGAAGATTTGATCCAAGAAGCAAAATCAAATTTTGAATAGGGACCAGCAGTTGGCATAATGGCCATGTCGCTGGACTCCCATGTAGTCAACTGCAGTTCGAGTCCTGGACCCGGTGGCTTAAACTCATGCCGGGCGTGTGTACCCAAGCATACCCAAGATCCTGAGAGGAAAATGGAGGAGAAGGGATTGCGGCGTGGCTGTCCCCCCGGTGGGTGATTTCTTGCTCTCTATCTCTCTGTCTTTCTGGGAAGGGCATGCGTCCTATAGCAAAAACCTCTCAAAAAAATTTTTTTAATAAAGCGAGAAGCAGCAAACGCAATGAGGAAAAAAAAAAAGGAATATGGAGACAAATGATGGTAACAAGCCAAAAAGCTAGAAATGGAACCCTTGAAAAGAATCTTTGCTGTCCTTGTAGCAAGACAAGCAGACTGGGAGAGTCTGTTGGGGAAGATTGAGTTACGTTCCTGAATGCTTTCTCCCAGTGTTGTTTTCCTCTCGCCTCAGGATGGATTAGACTAGAGAATCTAATACGATTTGCTCATTACGGTCCATCTGCTTCCTTTTCTCATCTGTTTTCTTTTCCTTTCTTCCCAAGCATGGGCTTTGCGGTGGGAAAGACCCAGCCAGGTTCCTGCCGCTGCCCCTTCCTGGCTGAGCGCACGTCCCAGCAATGACCTCACTGCCTCAGCTTATCTCCCTCATCTGTAAAACGGGTGTAACGGTATCAGCTTCCCAGGACTGTGAGCATGAGCTGAGGCATGTGTACAACCTTCTTCCAAGTAACACTCTTAGACGAGAATGTACTTGTAAATCTCAAACATGAGTGCAGCCAGTAGGCAACATTAACTACTGGGTCATCAGGAAAGTCAGGATGCGTTTTTGCATAGAAAAACACATCCTGACTTTTCCAATGACCTAACATTTCATCAAGCCCAGGAATCCCCAATATTAAAGAGAAAGCCATTCCTGTGGATTATTCTTGTCAATGCTACTTATGTTAAAATAACAGTAGTAGAGCTCTAATTCAAGATTGGTTTATTAAGCTCTGATGGTAAGAGCAAACAGGCGTCTGTTTCTATAACTTGCTGCAACATTATTAATTGCAAGAATGGAGTCTATTAAAATCAGTTAATAACATCCATGTGACATTCAGTCCTTGCCAGTGTTTTGATAATGGGAGATAATTTACCCCAAGGTAAAATAAATACGGCAGTTCCTGTCTCCAAGGCTGGATCTAAGTTGAGCATTTTATGTATACCAGCAGATTAAGCAGATGTCCCGTGGGTTGTGGGGTGTGGCATTATCATGACAATATCCGAGTATCCACGTGATAGCCCATCCTCCAGGCAGGAAGAGGTGAGAATCCCCTCCCGAGAGCAGCTACCAGGAGACTTACCATTGCAGGGTCGCAGGAGTGGAGTGGGGCTTGGATGCTCTGTTATTTTCCTTTTCCTCATCTGTTAAAAGAGAGAACAAGGAGCTACTTCAGTAGGAAAGAGCAGGAAAGAGTAAAAGCCCTCTTAGCTCCTCCAGTTTCAAAAGACTATTTCCCTGGGGCCAGCAGATGGCATGGTGGTTAAGGCGCTGGACTCCCACGTGGTCGACTGCAGTTCAAGTCTCAGACCTGGCAGCTTGCTTTCTCATCTTCCCTCTCTCTCTCTGTCTCTCTCTGGTGAGTGTATGTGTCCTACAGCAAATTTAAAAATAATAATAATGGTAACTAAAATTAAATAATTCTTTAGGGGAAAAAAAAGACTGTTTCCCTCAAATGGTCTTTGAAACAACGATATTTCGGCTTTCCCAATTTGTTAGATCCATCATATTTTAATAGCAACAGAAAAAGGCAGGGACTGACTTTTACGTAAACAAAACAGAAACTTTTACATCAATTTTATTAGTTTATTATTATTATTTTAGGTTTTTCCTAAACAGCTGTGCGTGTGTACTCTCTGGAGAGAGACAGCGAGAGGGAAAATGAGAAATCGCTCCCCGGGGGAATGGCCACACAACAGTCCCTTCTCCTGGGATTTGGAGCACACACACACACCCATGCCCAGCATGATTTTCAAGCTACCAGGTCCAGGACTCAAACCGTAGTCGACCATGTGGAAGTCTAGTGTGTTAACCACCGTGCCGCCTACTGACCTCCATCAGTTTTGTTTTTATCTGACACAGCATGTTGGAGCTAGGAGAGCCATCTTCCTTCAGCACAGAACACTATGACAGCGCTCACCCCCTTGTTTACCTTAGAAGCAGGAGAGGTTCCTTGACTCTGACCCTAAAATATATCGACCTCACTCCCCGGACTGCATGTTTGTGTCTCTCCAAAGTTCATGTGTTGAAACCCTAAGGTGATGATAACAGGCAATGGGGCCCTTGGAAGGTGATTAGGCCATGAGGGTGGAGGGCGATTAGGTTATGAGTGGCCTCGTAAAGGAGACTTCAGGGCTGGCTTTGCGGCACAGTAGTTAAGTGCAGTGCTCAGGGAGCTGGGTCCTATATGACCAACCAAGGTTTGAACAACAGCTCTAGAGCTTGGAAAACAAGCTGAGAGCACATGCCTGCTGACAGGGTGGAGAAGCGGAGGAAAAAGGGTTGTGAGGTAACCCACGCGGGGTGCTATCTCTCTCTCGGAGTTAAGTGCACACACCCTCTGGCAATAAGAAAAGAAAAAAGGAAAGGGAAGGGAAGGGAAGGGAAGGGAAGGGAAGGGAAGGAAAGGAAAGAGAAGGAAGACAGAAAAAATAAGGCTCCAGAGAGCGCTCTAGACCCTTTGGCATGTAAGGACACAGTTAAAAGAAAACTGTCTGTGAAGCAATAAGTGGATCCTTCCCGGACACCAAGTCTGCTAGTGCCTTGATCTGGAACTTCCCAGCTGCTAGAACTCTGAGAAATACATTTCTGTTGGTTATAACTCACAATGCAGTATTTTGTTATAGCAGCCAGAAAAGACTAAGATACCATTAGCTCTTTGGGGTTTTTAAAAATAATTATTTATTATTATTATTATTATTATTTGACTAGAGAGAGACAGAGAGAGAGAGAGAGAAAATAAGAAAGGAAATTTCCAGGTCTAGGACTTGAACCATGGCTGGCCATGTGGGAGTCCAGTGCCTTAACTACAATACCATCTGCCAGCCTCACCCCCCTTTAGCTGTGTGTAACCCCAGTGGAGGAGGCAGTTAGTGTAGGGTAATGAGAATGTTTGTAAGAATTCAGAACAATCAGGTTAACCATACAATAGAGTAGGGGTCAACAAAAAAAAATTTTTAAAGGGCCAGAGAGTAAATATTTTAGTGTTTGTGAGCCAAGAGGCAAAATTAAGAATATTCTATACAATTTACATGACAAGACAGAAAACAAATCCCCACAAAATTTTTATGGACAAAATAAAAAATATGATGATAATAACATAACATAGGTCTACTAGTGAGAAGAATTACATTATTTTTGAAGAGTAAATAACATTTCTCTTAGTTGGGACTCGAAGTCAGCGTTCCGTATCATCTAAATGCAAAAGTTCACCTGTAAAAATCATTCTGAGGGCCTTTGCTGTAGCAGAGTGGTTATGTGCTCTACAGTGGGTGCCAGATCCCACATGGCTGAATGCAGTTCAAATCCCAGTCCCCGGACTGAAAAACACAGGAGGCACGTGTGTGCATGCCCAAAATCCTGATGGGGGGATTAACTATTAAAATTCCTTGGCAAAGGTTGACCCAAGGTCATTGGTATAAATAGTATCAAAAGAAAATAAATAATATCTTATTTGAGCTGCTAAAAAAATTATTGCATATCCTTTTTATTATCTCATTTTGGTATTATTCGATCTATACAATCTTTTTGTATTTATTGGGAAATAAGTAGTATACAAAAAGGTCATTTTCATTTATCTATGGCTGGGGGGGAATAATTGTGTACATAAAATGAGTACAGTAGTCTTTTTAAAAATAGACTATAATTCAAAACATTGTTGATCTTAGCTTTTAAAAGAAGATGAAAGAGAAAATAATGTCAAAACTTACAAATAAAATCAACAAAATTTAACATGGACATACAAAAAAGATCAATGAAACTGATCTGTGGTATAAAATATATATGGAAAAGAAACAGTACACATGAAAATAGTTTAATAAAATAAAAACAAAAATAGAAGAAAATTAAAATGGTATGTACCATTAAAATAATAGTAATATATGGTTGTTGATAAAAATTAAATTTTTCCAAAAATTAAATTTTCTCAATAAAACTGAGTGCAGAAAATATTTTTCTTGATAAAAATGTATCAATATTGGCATTGTTATGATTAAAATGTTTGCTCATAAATACTGTTGCAGGTTCTATTTTTGCTCATTCAACAATCATACATACTCACCTCCTTCCTTATTCTATAAATAAGGGGACCATATGTGTTGAGGGAAGGTAATCCCTCCAAACGAGGTGGATATTGAGTAATTTAAACCAATCATGGTAATTAATTTCATGTCATCTAGTTGCTGATTGGATTAGGCAGGGCATGTGACTTCACACTGGCCTATCATACTTAACGGAGAGGCCCCCAGGTACTTCTGGGCAAACTATTGATATTTTTCCCTAATATAAAGGAACTGCTGAGAGACCCTGGCCCGGTCCATGCTACTTCTGAACATGGCTGTGAGGGGACACAGTGACTGGAGCAAGGCAGCAAACCTGCAATTGGGAAAAGAGTAGTCTGAGAACAAAGTCAACACCAAGGAAGACAGAGAGGAAAGTGGAAAAACTGAACGTCTGCCTGTCGCGTTGTACCTCTAAAGTGGCTGCCTCTTTGTCCTGTGAGATACTACCATTTCCTCTGCTAATAAAATCTCTTTTCATTGGGTATCCTCTCCCCTGCCATCAAAAAATTACCCTGATACAAGCCACACCAAGTGTGCTCAGGGACAAAGGTGGGACTCAACACCTGTTCATGCTGTTTTGTCAACCTGGAGCTCTTTCCAAATAAGTGTTTCTCATTCTTTTGAGCCCAAAATAAATACTACCTCCACTCTGAAACCTTTTCTGATACTCCAAGTCAGGAACCATCGATCCAAACCCTGTTCTTCTACAACCCATTATCTGTCTTTCGACTGAGCAGCTTCATCACCTGGATCATTAATTTTGTACGCATGCATCCCTTCTCCTGGAGTATAAGCTTACTAATGAGGCAGTGAGAAGGCCCAGCCTCTGGCACTGGCAGTAGGATGCCATTCTCCTCCATTCTCCTCTCAGGCTTTTGGGCACACACACACATGCCCAGTGTAAGCATTAAGCCGCCAAGTCTGGGACTCGAACCATGTTCAACTACATGTGAGTCCAGCAATGTAGCCATTATGCCATCTGCTGGTCCCTTTCTGTTTCTTTAAATTTGAGCATTTTGGTCAACCTGGACAAGATGCCCAAAGACCTAGATTCTGATATTAATCCAAACATTTGCTGGGCATGACTGAGCAAACCACTCAACCTTGAGCTTCTTTGTAAAAAGGTCATCTTACGGAGCTCATGATAATTGTATTAATTAGTCAACAAATACTCACTGAATGCCTAATCTGTGCTGGCTAGACATTGAAGATAAATTAAACTCTTGCCCTTGAGTTTGGGTGAGGAAAAAGAAAGACAGAAGTATAAAAAGGAGTGAAGCTCAGTAAAAAATGCTAAATGCTGTTAGACAAGTAGACAGAGAGGTGGCCACCAACCCAGACAGCTTGAAAAAGCAAGGCCAGTGATGGAAGGCGCCCTGGAAGAAGCAGGAAGCGAGCTGAGCCCTAGAGTGAGCCAGAGAAGGGAACCAGATGGCATGAAGATGGGGTGGAAATCTGGTAGGGTGAAGGAGGGACAGACAAGGGACAAAAACACAGAGACCTGAAAGGTCCTATCACCTTCCTAGACTGAGGTGGTTGCAGTCCAGCTCCTCGATGGACGTGGAGAACGGAACAGGGTGAGCCAGAGACGTGCCCTTAACAATCCAGCTATCCTGAGCTTGAAGACCTCTTTTCTCTCAACTGGGATAAAATCATGTCTACCTCAAACAGTCACTGGGAGAGTCAGTGAAATGAGCTTAACTGAGGGTAAGAGCTCAGAGGCATGAGCTGAGCAGACAGGAGGATGTAAGCTGGCCCTGGCTATTGCGAGCTGGCCCTGGCTGCTGCAGGCTGGCTAGGCACTCAGAGCAGTTCTGTCCAGCTGAGATCTTGCTGGAAGCAGGTGAGGGAGGAGCCTCTCTGCCTAGGAAGGTCTACAGGGGCAATGACAACGGGGCCACTGAGGACCTTGCATGGCCAGCATGTACCAGGGACATCGCAGCTCACAGAGCAGGTGGCACAGGAGCTAGGCCTTGAAGAGGTGGTAGTTTTTTGTTTGTTTGTGTTTAATTTGCCAGAGAGCATGAGTACTTGCAGCTGGGGATAGAGAAAGTAAGAAAGCACTTTCCACGGGACATGGTCAC